CGTTTCATTAAGAGGCGTTTTGCTGTGACAGAAGATGCTTTTATCTCAAAGCGAGTGCTGGAAATAAATAAAGGGTATATTGTATATAGTAAAGTTTCGGAGGGTCTTCGTTAGTTGCTCACTCACAGGTGAAGTGGAACGTCTTGAATATATTAATTGTGTTCGTGTTCTATGTTCAATTTTGTACATCATTATATACATCAAAAGTATCTAACTAATTGAAAAAGTAAAGAATATTGCTTCGTATTCGTGGTTTATTAGAGTACGTATATATTTATAAATTGCTTTTAGGAAGCAATTACGTAATGATCTTAAAAATAAAAAGTGAACATCACTTTTGTGAATTATTATAATTGTACATGAAACTGGGGTCGTAAAACTAATTAACTTTCGAGATTCTCTCTACCTTTATCAATCAAGCTCTGCAGATAAATGTAATGGGTTTCAGCAACACGAGTATCCATAGTTAATAAAAACAATTAATCGTGTAGTGAGCGGGTCCAACTCTACATCTATGCGAGGCTCGATGTTCGTTCATATCCTAATGTGGTGTTGGTAAAACGGGCGTTATTAAAATTCCATTTAGAGGCGCCCGACGCTTACTCTGAACTGAGCTGAGAATCTTTATTTAATAACTGAAACTTTTTAATTAACGCTCCTATTAATACAAAAAACGATGAACCACTACTTTCGTGATTTATACATTTACTGTACATTAAGAGCCACTCTTTCCAATGTTTAAATATTATAGTGCTGTTCTTGCTTGATTTTTTATGAATTAAATTAATTAAAATTATAAGCACTTTTTTTATTTAAAACTTGTCGAAAATTTATGCATGATTAAAATGTAAAAGGGATTAAAGTCATGAAGATATTCTTATAACTGTATACTTTTTATGATTATAAGATGGATTGTTTTGTGTTACTGATATATTCCACTTAAAATGTTATTACGGTATAAACTATAATAAATAAAAGAACGAACTAGTTATTTCCCATGCGAGTTGAAAAAATGTTAAACAGTGGGCGGGGTAGCAACAGAAAAGGTAAGCCTTGATGGCTTTGATCTCAGACTCCACTGATTGTTACGAGAGAGAGATCGCCCGGAGCTACCTGCCGTAATTTTAGACTCCAGTAATCACTCTTAATAAATGTACCTACTAATTTTTGGTTACACAAAAAAAAAACACATGATTGTTCTCAAGTATACACTCGAAATAAATTAGCCCTGACTCACCAGTTTCAATGTTTCCAAGTCTCTTTCCTCGGCTTTTTAAAATTCTTGTGCACTTTACATAGTTTCACCATGTACGACATATGTCGCCAACTCTAAATCATTCGCAAGCAATTCTCAAGCTCTTTGGCTTTCTTCCAAGCAAGCACTTGAAACTAAGTCATCTGTTAACTTAAAAGAATGTTATTACACTTTTAAAAATCCCGTAATATACTTTATTATTGGCTATTTATTTACTTATGTAACCTCATAATATCTTAATATTCTTAACTCATTCTCTCATAACTCTATTATATGAAAATCAATTGTAACGGTTGTTTAAGATTGTTCAGTAGCTAAAAATATGTTTTCCCTATATATAAATTTTTCATTTTAGTTTTTGTATAATAAATACTATGATTATTTTTTGACATATTATTTATTTTATTACTGTTTTATCAATCACAAAATGCGACATATTTTTTATGTTTTAACCCTTTCGGGTGTCGTAAATAATAGCAAGAGAATCGCGTGCAACTTATTGTCATATAAAATTTGAGCTCGGTCATTTACTTTAATAGGGAGTAGTTATGGCTGAACAAATTAATTTCGTAATTCAAAACAAAACAACCCTGAGTATTTGATGCTTCATCAATTTAATGTAAAATAAATTAGTTCTTCATGTCGAGTACTTATTATTTTCCAAATAATTCTGTGTCATTTTCGTGAAACCCATTCGACTCTTTCGCTTTGTTTCTTTTAATAGGTAGGTATTTATTCCCTTTCTTCTTTATGAATTTATATTGCGGTAACTAATGAAAACTTTACTGTCGAAAGTAAAGGCACAAGTGAAATATTATGGATCATAGTTTTTTTACACGATTTATGTAGAAAACATACGATTCATTTTGATAAATTGCCTATATAAAAAGCGGCCATTTCAACCTTTCACGCCAGTGAATTGGATAAAATATATTCGTTTTGTTAGCCAAACGTTCCGTGTAGAATCCCGTCTGTTTATATATAGATGAAGGTTAAATCATTTGTTAAGTGGTTGAATTCGACGTGGTTAAAAATTCCGCTGGGTTTGGGGTTCCAAATTGAATTACAGTGAAGCTGAAGTTTAGTCAAATTTGAAATAGGATTCAATGAAAAACAATTTCTTTCAGCTATACTAAGGATTTTGTTTACAAAATAATAATAAAATATATATTTTTTGTTTCAAAATGGAACGTTTAGGTATTAGTTTCCTATATTATGATGAATATTTCATATTTAGAGAGGTAATTTTTTTTCATTCTTAATATATATATACTAGTATGTTTATAGCACTGTACCATGTACTTAGAAATTAAGTTTAGACAGAATTGTAAATAAAAAACTAGATATGGTAAGCAACCGGCGTCGACTACGCCACGTGACTTCATAAAAAATACAACTGTTATGTCGTGTTCTCAAGGGATACTACACTTATTTCGGGAAACATTATAGCATATATAATATTCTGATTTATCATATGTACTTTTATTGTCAAGTAATAAAAAATCCATTCATTAATTTTTAAGTGAAATCGTAACAAAATCCACACGTGCAATCAATCATTTTCTCAAAGTTTCTAACTTTCTAGTTTATGAGTAGGATAGTAGTAGAATTATATTTTAAAGAGGCGAATTTCATTACGAGGTACTGTGGACAACGACGTGATTAGAGATAGCTTTTTAAATGCTTAGACCACTTAACGTATTTGCCAGTTGTGAGGCTCTAACTATAAGAAATTAATCTTACCTTACTTAGCTTTAATATAGCATTAAGATATATGAAAAGTATTTGTTTCATTGTTTCAAAAATGAAAGATTTCTGTTAAATAACGTCTGATCCGAAACTCCTTCAAGCATTTTCACGTTGCAAGTAAAATTTGCATCCCATTGAACATTTCCTGTCTAGGTGTGACTTAACCAAGTTTGAAATCAGATTTTTGTTCGACGTTCGTTACATCAGTATGCGAGGGATGAATGCGTGATGGTATGCACTGACGTCCGCTACAACACCGTCTTTACCATGTCACTATAAATAAAAGCCGTATAAAATTAGATACCATAATATCAAACGTCTCTGTTTACATTTAAGTGTAGGTACGCGTAATATATATTTAATAAATTTTCATTTATCTCTTTGTACTATAAGTAAAAATATGTTGCAAATATGTAATTTATGTATGTATGTTTATGTACATAACATACTTTCACTATAATATATATGAACTCTCACCGAAATTTGTATCTGGTCTTCGCTTGTCAATCATTTGGTTTCGTAGTACATGTTGAATTATATTGCATTATTGGTTAAATTTGCATGTAATTTGTTTCAATTGTAACGTTCTGATTGATTGTAACTTTGTTTCCGTATAACAGTCATGTTATATGAAAATGGAAAAATGTAATATGAATAAAACCGCTTTTATGTATTTTTTAATAACTCACTATTACATTTCGAGTACGTTTTCATTTAATTAAATTAAACGTGTGCTTTTAAATGATAACATATTAAATAAAATTCAAATGTAATGTTTATTGTGCGATCCAGGAAATATTAAAACACTCGCTTCTATATTACACCTGGGAAATTATGGACATGGGAATGAGTGCGGTAATTATTGTACGGTAAAATTAAAGTTCCAAGTCAATGTATCAGAAGCATTGTCCCTCTTAGAACATTCTCAGAGTTCAATATTATGAATAAAGCGAAACGTGAAGTGTTATAATAATCAACTTCACATAATTTGTACGTACCAAATTCAGAATAGAGGTTGTTATAAATTTTATAAACGTTTCTCCTTTATTTTTTTATCACTTATACTTTCAGTTCAGATAAAATATTAAATTCCTTTATTTTGATCCAGACAGTCCAGAGTTTTGATTAGACGGTGCCGTGTAAAGTAACGATTTCAATCATCAAAGTTCTTTTTGCTTTCATGTTCACAAAATGGCGGCAAAATATTGCCTACACGAGGGGAATGGTGGGGTCAATAGTGGAAGCTCTAATCTGTGCAGGGATCGTTCGGATTAATTGTTCGGATTGCCGTCTTTGTTACTTGTTACGAAGTTTTTATTGTTAGATGTTACGTAAAGCACTAAACAAACTGTCGATCTTAAATGTTCCAGCCCTATATATGTACAAGAAAAAGAAAATTGATTTAACGACCTTTAAATTTACATTCTTTAATATTACAGGTTACGTCGAAATTTAAAACTTCTTATTTAAAACAGTTTTTACGCTCCAATTCGTATTGAAATGAAAAATCTGCTATTTGATATCTGACACCGATTTCAATTTAATTTTAAAAGTCGCGTGTGTAAGCATTAATTAAGAGAAAAAGTTCGTTTAACGGCACAATGGTCGTCCGTCAATACGGGCAACATAATTGTATACGTGGGCATAAAAATCCGTCAAATCAAATCCCTCCCTAATAGGGAGGGCGCGTTACTAATTAAAATAAAATTGTTAAAACAGAGAACGTAGCGCGCTCGCTCTGGACTAACTTTTAACGAGGATATATTTGGTTTCGACTAACCCTTTGGTGATTTCACTATGGAGTCTGGGTGCAAATAACTCAGTAATTACCTTCAAAGAACTTTAGCTTAGTGAAGTATACTTATTACATTGTGTATTTGGATCCATACAATGTTGATGTTCATCAGCTTTTATTTCAGATATTTGACATTAAGTATTAATTTAAAAGAAATATTAACTATATATATTTGATTTGTTCTAGATAACAGACAGCAAAATGATGGACTGCCTGTGTCCAGCGACACGTACGCTGGCCTGTCGTGTGGTTTTGTTGGACGAAAGAGAATTGATGCATGAGATACAGGTATGTTATTCACATATTTTTTAATATATATACCATAAGCCCCAAACTGTTGTTTTCAAATAAGGATATAACGTATTTTCCTTGGGTTACAGCATTGAATTCGAAGGAACTATTTACCTAAATCATTAAATAATATAAATGATGCTTTTTTGTATTTTGATATGATAAAAAAGATTTTATAGGTACCGAAAGTTGTTTGTTAAGAAACAACATGTCAAACGTATTATTTGATAACTTTATTTGAAAGCCGACCTCAGTCAGAGGCGGACGTCCCGGAGGAGTCGCATGTGACGGTCTTTTCAATTTCACGGGATGATGAAACAACGCATGGATTTTTCTCCGCTTCTATTCCGCAGTTTTGAAGTGCAGCTATTCCGCGACGAATTATTTGAAGTACACCCAGGGGCTCAAGAAAGGTCTTTTATATGCGGATCTCGGGTCCAAGGTGCGGGCGATGAATTCACTGAATCGTACGTCGACTCTATGAATATTAAATTCTATTTGGCTGGCATTGTCGTCGCGCGGTGAATGTAGGAGTGATATCCGAGTGCGCGAGGCCTTCGAACGCTGTATCTTTACACACGCGTTTTATTCATAACATCATTGATTTGTCAACTAGTATACATCACCGCTATATGAACTGTCAACAAAATATTTTTTTAATGAATGCATAATAAATTTTACTTTTATACAGAAAGTAGTAAGAAAAATATATAATATAGATTAAGGAACTTCGTTCGGATTTTTAAAAATAAAATAACAGTAAGACATTTGACAATTTGACTATGCGATATTAATTAAAATGAACAAATATAAAAGGTAAATAAAGGAATGAAATGATAACCTGCTAACTCCAGTTAAACAACAATTAAAGTACTTACAGAGTAATATCCTTAAAATAGCCTTAGACTAATTGCTAAACCAATATTAATAGTCGAAAACCCATGAGCGATGTTGCCTCGACGACGGACCACCAGAAAAGTGCCGATGTTTCTTTTTGCGCACTGCTTCTATTTTTGTTTCTTTTCCAAGGAGTTCCTAACTCGGCTTCTATTTTGTTTCTTGACCAAGGAGTTTCCTAACTCGGCCTCTCCTGACTCCTGGTCGTCCTCGGCCACATTCTCTCTGTTTTTCAGTAGTAGCCTCGCCTACTGCGCCACCTTCCCGATCTTCGTCTTCAAGGTTTGGCATAGACGATCCGGCCGGAGCACCTTGTCATCCTGAATTTTGAAATAACATCACCATTACTATCGGAAACATTATTGTTTGCATGAGTGTAGTGTCCAAATGTTTTTCAAATAAACAAAGTAATGTAAGCTAAACGGCATCCAAGACAGATAAAGTGAAAATAAAGAAAAAGGTGTGAAATCGACGGTATCCCAACAATTTCACATCCCCACAGTACATTACCATTGTCGGGTGACTCACGCCTTTGAAGGGCTACCAACACCATAGAAGTGCAGCTCATGCCAATGCGACTCACGCAATCGGCAACTTCCATCACTGGCGGCTCCCGTCTGTGGCGACTCCCGTCAGTGGCGACCAACGCTGATGGCGGCTGATGCAACTGAGGACAAACGTTAAGGGCGACTAACGCCCGTGCGACTAACGCACCTGACGACACACGTCAAAGGCGACTAACGCCAAGGCGACAAACGCCTATGCGACTAACGCAACTGACGACACACGTCAAAGGCGACTAACGCCAAGGCGACAAACGCCTATGCGACTAACGCAACTGACGACACACGTCAAAGGCGACTAACGCCAAGGCGACAAACGCCTATGCGACTAACGCAAACTGACGACACACGTCAAGGCGACTAACGCCAAGGCGACAAACGCCAATGCGACTAACGCAAACTGACGACACACGTCAAAGGCGACTAACGCCAAGGCGACAAACGCCAATGCGACTAACGCAAACTGACGACACACGTCAAAGGCGACTAACGCCAAGGCGACAAACGCCAGTGGTGATGAGTAGACTTGCGTCTTGAACTCCCACCCGGCAGCAGGTCAATGAGACGCCTGCGGTGTCTCGAACCTCCACCAGCTGCAGGCCAGCGGGATGTCCCCGTCTCGACAAGTGACGACTCGCGAAACTTGTCACCACTGCTTCTGAGAACAGTCGTTAAAAGAAAATGAGCAAAGTGACAAAACAGTTCAAAAATTTCACCATCGAATACTATAGCACCAGTATCTGGGCACCATTCTAAATTCCATGGCATCACACGTTGAGTGGTTGGTTGAGCTGATTTAAGAGCATTACATTACATTGGATTACAATTTTAAACTGGATGCCAACTAGATTGTGGTGGAAATATTTTAAGGCCCTGACCTTATTTCACTATTGTAATTAATCTCTATTTCATGTACCGCGATCATACACGAATGCGGGATTACGCGCCCCAATACGAAAAATATGTCGTACTCATAACGAATTTTCTCAGGTTGATATTCTACGTCATAACTCTGCCGCGTTTCACAGCAAGTTGCGGGACGTATTATTGAAAAAAAGAATAAACCACCTAGCAGTCCTGTTTTTCATTTACATTGACTGGGAATTTAGTTTAGTTTGTTTTAAGTATTGGATATTCTCTGCACATTCGCCATCGCTCCCTTCACATACTAGATTAGGTTTACACATCGCCTTTCAAATTTATTTATTAGTGAGGTACGTACCCAAGCATCCTCTCATTTTTACTTAGTTATATTTCTTGGTGAGAAATGTTTGAGGACACAGGTATTTTGTCTTTAATATGCTGCATTGTTGTTTATATTTGTTTTGTTATACTCCTGTGATCTGTTTTTTTTTTCTCCAATAAACAAAATAAAATAAAAATAAAATTGCAGATGAGTTCATGTAATGATGTAATTGCAGAGCCTCCTCCTTTCTAGCGCTCGGGCTAACCTGACCACCACTTATATGTCTGTCTAAGTTCTCAAATTCGGTATTCAGAAACGAGTATTTTATTTTAATATTGATCGGAAAAAATAGAATTCTACCTTTACCTTTTTTTAGCATTAAAATTCAGAAGAAGTACTTTGTTGATATAAACGAGCAAGTCATCAGAATCAACGAATTCCCGAAGCATATCATTAATTGATAATAGGTTTGTAAACAATAGATGAGTTTGTCAAACCATATGGCATCTTTCAGTATTCGTAGTTCCCTCCTGACGCGGACGTAACGAAGCTTGTGTAGTAAATACAGTCGTCCCTGATTCTCATTTCATGAAGTCGCCATATCAGGGCCGGTGACGAAGTTATGTCATCCTAAAAAAAAATCAATTTAATGGTCAATAAATGAAAACGGATATCTTTCCTTCTCTGTATTGCGAATAAGTGCTCGAAAATCTTTTTCGTCACTGAAATTATTGAGCTGGCATATTGGGATCGAGATTCCCTAATGATGCCTTTATCTAAGAGATCCTTCATTATTTCGCTAACTTGTACCATCTTCCTGTAAAATAAATTGTATGGGCGACAAGTTATTGGAATTGAACTAGTAAGTTTGATATTCATCTCACCTATACTGTACTGTAGTGGCAGCGGTACACAAGAAAATCCGAGAAAGGCGACAATACAAACATTGGTAATTCCAGATTACTACCTGGCAGAGGGATTTTATATAAAGAGTTTTCGGTGGCTAGTACTTGATTAACCTGACTGATCCCAGCGAGTGATATACTGTTGTTGTTACTCTTACATACATTACTCCAACACGATTCAAAACATCTGTCGCTATTTATGCAGGCTGACGGTACTACTACTAGATATTAAAATGAAATATTGCTGAATTCAATAGTTACTGTGTTGTGAGGAGTGGCAAAGGTTTCGTATTCATTAACGTCTCGTAATGTACGTCGTATACTTGGATTGGCAAGAAAGTAATTTAATAAGGTCAGAAGAAATCAGTGATATAATGTGATCACCAATATTGATAAATATGTTAATCGGTATGCACTATCAACTGCACGAACCACATCGATATTTCTCACCAGCTTCGGTTAACATATGTTTACATTTTGGTAGTTAGTTAATCCTTACCTATTCTTGACAAAACATGCGTCTTCACAGTTTCCTGTAGTTTTAATAAATGCGCGTATTAAGACGACTTAGCAGCGGGATTATCATTTTATTCTGAAAGTTGTTAATGTTGGTTTGTTTATTATTACAATTCCAAGTTCTGCAGATAAATCCTTAACCAATCGTAAACGTTATAATGTACGTCTCACATTCCCAGCGTATGTCGTATATTAGTTGTATGTCGTGTTCATACATGCAAAGGAAATGTTAGCGGAGTCCAACTTCTGAGAACAGAGAGGTCTTAAATGAGTTCTAAAAATATCCATGTACGACCATTTGTGACCTATGAATTTAGTTATGTCTTGGCGTCGGCTTTTAAATAAGATGCTTCCCGGGAAAAACACTCATGATCTTCCACTGTCCACTATCATTGCGCGATCTACCTCTAGACACAATAAATCAATCAGAAGAATCAAAAATTGACACGTAATAATGAAGCGATTTTATGAGTGCGAGATTCTTAAGGGCTTCTGTCATAACGGTAAAATACGAAACTGACATAGTATCGGGATAGCGAACAGTGGTATCTTGATCGTGAGTCGTAGTCTGAGGGACATCGCTCAAGTTAACTAAACTATTTACGTTTGGTGATTCGTTGCCACTATTAACTATGTGATTGTGACCTATAGACACATTTCTTACGACCGATTCAGCAACATTTCCTGATAATTATGTTGTAACTCTACGACACTATTATTAAACTGATCGACAGCTTTGAGTCTTACTAAAATGTTATTCAAATTATCATTCAATGAATCACTTACAAGTAAGTATGATGCGGGTGCGTGTTGAGAAAATTTACTGCTGCTCGACTCGTTTCTCGATCTACGACAACGTACTCGTGCTATGGACACCCTAGGGTATCTATGTGGGCTAGATATCAATCTATTTTTCACATGGCGTAATCT